GACTTTTCACGGACGCCCGAATTTAAACGTGAATATCTATATGAATATCGATGCTACAGGAATGAAACACATATCATCTTGTAGCCAAGAACCAGGTCTTTCGATCCATCTTAGAAGTACCTTAGTAGAAAATCACACCCTATTGCGTAAATCGCGGGAGAAGTCAAAAACGGATTTTTTTTGTAACTTTTTGTAAAAATTTATGTAAATGGCATATTAATCCGGATATCCGGTTTGCTTATAGGGATGCGGTTCCAATCCCTAGGCAAAATTAGGGTTAGGGGTTGATCAGGGAATTATGTGATTTTGACAATCACCTTCAGTGAGCTATTTTAATATTTTAATATTATTAAAATTTTTTTATTTCATATATATTTTTTTTTGTTAAATATATAATAAATAACATTATATTAAAAAATTTTCAATTATGATCTTTTATTCACTTTTAAGAGAATATATAAAAATTAAAAATTAAGCATTAATAAATTACAAAAAAAAAAAAATAATGTCAAGTCTACTTAGAAATTATAATTAAAAAAAAATTTACATTTTATCAATAATAAATTACAATGATACTAATACCTGAAATAATATTTTTGAAAATACAGAAAAATATCTGATATATATATAAAAAAACTATAAACAATTTTAAATTATATTATATAAAACACTTCTGAGTACTGTGTTTTTTTTTTTTGAAAAATCAAATCCAAAGGAATAAAGATTTTCGAAGATCAATCTAATTAAACTTATAATATTTCATACTACCAATAAAACTGAATGAATTATCTATTCCAATAGATTATTTAACAAATTCATTTGCAAAAATTTCTAATCCAACTATCAATAGAATATTGAATCACTTCTGAAGATCCTAAAAATTGCTCAACATCGAAATTAAAATAATAGGTTCTACACTTTCTTGAGATTTTTTAGGTTAAAAGAAACTTTTTACGTGTATCTTCATTTCGATATATATATATTCAAGAAAAATAGTAATATAAGAAAGAAAATTGCAAAATGCAAGTTTTGATCAAGTGAATAGTACGTACAAGAAAGAAATATTTTGACAAAGGGATATACTATACTACGGTAAAATAAAAGGGGGGAATATATACGTATATATTTAGCATATGGACAACCATGTACAGTAAAAAAAAGTGAAAAAAAGATCACAAAGAAAAAATATGTTCAAAAAAGAAATTGGGTTTTATATATTGCAGATGACAGAATTTACCTTAATTGTAAATCAACCTCAGTAAAATATCCATCATCAAAGAAATTAGGGTAGTTCATGCAAAAAAAATAAAATAAAATAAAAGATAAATAAAACAAAAATAAAATAAAATAATTAAAAAAAAAAAGAATTAGATTTTGACTTTCTTAATAAGTTCCAAAAAAACCCCGATTTGAAAACAAAACCCTACTATATACTATATGTATTAAAAGCTTTCATTATATATAACAATTTGTAAGGAATATGTAACCCTACAAATATAACATAAATCGAATATGTATATTACCACGCTCCGTCTATATTAGTTCGGAATGAGGAGCAGAATTAGTAGTATGTGAACTTGCTTCGGGTCCATTAGCCGGCGACGAAATGACAGGAGAATTTTCACCTGTATCAGGGGAATTCATTTGCATCCCATCTGTTGTTGTTGAAGAAAGGTTACCATTTTGATTCTTTTGATTTTCTGTGAGGATCATAAGCTTTTCAACTTCTGTTCAACAACAGAAGGTTGGCAAATGAAATAAATTTTAACATTAGCAAACTACAATATATTAGCAAACTACAATCACAATAAACATTAACAAAACAAATTCAATGAAATTATTAAATATAAGACTTACTTGAAATTAGGTGTTTTCCGTAAGTATATTTTTTCAGCGACTGTAAATGAGGTTTAATTTTTGCTACGAGCAGATCACGTTGGTCTCCATCTACCACATCAAGCATCTTTTGAACTACATAGTTAGCATATTGATCCTTCATCATAGAAATTAGTGGTGACGTGCTATAGAAAATGAACAAAGATAATTTATTAATATTTGAAAAAAAAAAAAAAAAAAAAATCAATCATAAATCTATCTTGAAAAACATACCCATCGGATTTAGTTAAAATAACTTCTTCAATTAATAATTGGCGGTCACGTTTACTTCCATGAGCGACACATTTTTCAACAACATTACTGGCAAATTTATGTTTCGACATTTGTAGAACATTGCCACGAACTTTAGCCACAACCATAGATTTATCTGCGGCTTTTCCACGTTCAAGAACGTGTTGAATGACATAATTGCCATATTGATCTTGAACTAAATTTTGAGTGTATCGATGAAGTTCCTCTAACAGAGGCTTCTATAAAGAAATTAATAAAATTGTTAATAATAAAACTTTAAATAATAATATAATAATGAAATATAGGATGTATGCTTACAGTTTGCTCATCAGTACAATGTTCAAACATTCGTTGAATTACACGACAACCATACGGGTGAGTAGCAAGGTTATAAACCTGACCATGGAAAGCATTAATGATGAACTGAATATGCTCGGCGGGAACTCGTTCGATAGCTTTCTGAATAACATGGTTACCATTTTGATCCTTGACGCATTTAAGTACGTTGCCATCAAGTTCTTTTACTAATGTAGCTTGTTGTTCGGTAAGTACATGTTCAAGAGCCTAAAGAAAAGAAAATTAAAATTGAAATATTGTTAATTTTTTCAAATGATAAAATTACAAATTATTATAAAAACTTATTAATGACTTAATAATAATTATGGTATATTAAAAAATTTTTTTACCTTCTGTACCACACGACATCCATACATTTGCAAAGCTAAAGATAATACATGACCTTCCATTTGTTTCGCCAATATGGTCTTTTGCATTTGATTCCCGTGTTCAAAGAACTTTTGAATAACATAATTACCAAACACGTCTGTCATCAATTGGAGAGCATTGGGAAGAATTTCATCAAAAACCAATTGTTTTTCCTCACTATTGGCAGTTTCAAGTTTTTGTTGAATAAATCTTGAACCATGTTGGTCACCACTAAATTCTACAATGTTGCCAACAATATCCTATAACAAGAAAATATTTAAAAAAATATTTAATATTATTATTAGTAAATACACAACAAAATTTCCAATTAATTAATTCATTTAAATATTTAAAGTAATTAAAATATAAAATTAGACACCAACCCTAAGTTCGTACTTTTTATTCTTATTATTTCTAAACTCTTCAAGCAGAGCACTTCGCATACCGTGACCAGGGTCAGAAATACTAGAACTCAGGTCATGACTACGACGACCACTAGTAAGACCACCATATCCACCTAAATATTCTGCAGAATGATGATGCCTTAATAATTGTTCACGTGCAAGCATTAATTGTTGTTGTTGTAACTGCTTTTGTTGAAATAATAACTGTTGTGATTGCAATCTTAAATTTTTTTCCGCAAGAGTAGCACGACTTTGTGCACTTAGTGGTGTATTCCCAAGACCAGAACTTAGACCAGACGTATTTAAACTAGAAGAGTTATAATATGGACTACTTTTACCAGAACCGTATTCAGAAGGTAATAATTGGTCGGCTCGATTTATAAGGGACCCAGTACCGCTTAGTCCGAGCTGCTGTTGTTGTTGAAGAGCTTTTTGATAATCAATTGAATTTCTTCCTGAACTTAATCCCAAAGAGCTACTGCGTGAATATGGTAATTCAGATGAAATTATGTTTCTACCCATCGTTGCCTCTTCACGAACATCCCACACTGAATAATTATCTATATATGATATTTATGAATATTTCACAATATATTAATAATTTGAATCGATATAAAGAATATATGCATATAATAATGTTTATAATAAAAAAATACCAAGTCCATATTGGGGCGAATATCCAGAAGTTGTAGAACCATCATTAAATAAAGAATTGTACTGTGATTGCATCTTCAAACGTTGTTGTTTTAATGCTTGCTGTTGTCGAAGGATGTGGGCTTGTTGTAAAGCATCTGTATAATCATCCTATTTATGGAAAGATATAATAATAATAATAATAATAATAAATAAATAAATAAATAAAAATTGCAAGTGTAACCTTTATAATATACAATAATGAATATGGAAAACCTACATTTCCTTCAAGATTTTTCATGTTATATATCATATCAGTGTGAGAAAGATCTCCGTGAAATTCTTGTGGAAAATTAAGACTATGAGTGCGGAAATGATTTTGAGTAGGTGGTGTTGAATTAGCACGAGGAGGGGGAGAGAATTTCCCACGAAGTGGAGGGGAAGTTCCTCTAGGAAAAGGACTTATTCGATGATCATAATCTTCCACTCCATCCAAAGCAGCGTTCACAACAGATTTTAAATGGTGATCATCATCACCTCGCATGTTATTTGTATAATGATGACCTGAACGAAGAGATTCTTCAAGCTCAAGAGCTTGACGAAGGTCATTTACATCAAAAGTATCATTACCAATTTCTGAAGCATTAGCATTGGCTTCAGCTAGGGCAGCAGCTTGTCTTTGACGTTGAGCTTGCTGAAGAGCAAACATGGGAGAAGGTGTTCGTGGAAAATCCTAAAGATAGGAAAAAAAAAATATTTAATCAAATGTCATTTCTTTTTTCCTAAAGTAAACTTAAAAGCATATACTAACTTCTTGAATCATTTCCACTGGATTTTTACGCTTATTTGGCGAATGAGGATCATTATTTACCCCTGGTGGTCCTTGAGGTGGTGGTGATGATATTTCAGATCTCCAAAGCGACGCAGCGCTGCTGGTGCCTTGATTACCGAATTGTTCATATTGTCCTCCGTGACCGCTTGGTTCGTTAGAGAATTCTTGTTGACTAATTGTTGAATGAGATTCAGGTTCCAAACTTTGATCCAAAGGATGTTCTCGTAGAAAATCATCATCTGCATCTAATTAATTATAAAATTATAAAATAAATTTTTAATGAGTATTACTCGTTCTTATTGTTACCTACACCCTACGTCAACGCACAGAACGCAAAACGTAGAACGCAAAAACGCAATAACAATCAACGCAAACACACATCACTAAAACAACACATTTATGATACATACCCATTCCTCTGAATTTTTCCAAAACTTTAGATTTTGGAGTTTGAGCACCATTTGACTTGTGGCTTAAATTACCTATCCCACCACCGCCAGCCCATAATTGCCAAGACTGACCAGGTGTATATAAAGGCGCAGGAAGTCTGGGGTCAAGACGAGAATTCATATAAAAATATGCAAGATAATCTGGATCTAAACGGAGATCGGATGGGTTTTCTAAATCTGTAGGGTCAAACCGACCAAGTTGATCTACTACTTGAGTAGGTGGTGCACTATTTGAACGACTAATATCTTGTCTTTGAGTTCCAAACATATCATAATCGTAGTCAAGTTTTCCTCTTAACAGTGCCGCCAGCTGTATAAACATAATTTAAATTTAAACCACCAGAAGAATTAATAGAGCGATGGAGTCAGACCAAAAAAGGAATAGTAGAAATGAGAAGTTAGTCATTTGAATCAATGTTTTTATAATTATATTTCCTTGGCATAATGTCTCATTTAGTCATAATATTACATATGGGTATTATACTCTCAACGTTATATTATTATATTAATATTAATATTAATATTAATATTATTACTATTATTATTATTATTATTATTATAATTATAATTATTATTATTATTATTATCAAAAAGGATCAAAGTTTTTCTCAGAGACACGATGCAAACATATTTTATCATACCTGTCCTTGTGGTTTATTATTGGCTTTCGGTTGAAGTAAGTCAGCTTTATTTTTTGGAGATTGGTCGTCCGTCATATGACGAGGGATCATCTTAATATATTTTTTATATATTTTATTAATAGTAGGGTTTATAATATTAAAGCAAGATTTTTATATAAAAGTTTTTAATATAACGGAACTTTTTTTTTATACACAGGCAAGAAAAAATAAAATAGTAATCGCGTGAAAGCTTGAACAAGAAAATATTTTTTCCTCTACGATGCAATAAAAGAAAATATAACAAGTAGAAATTAAAAAGAAAAAGAAAAAGAAGAAAGGTCTAAATAGTATAATATTCAAAAAAGTCTAAAAAGAAGTATGAACAAGGCTTTTGTACAATTTTTACACTTTGGGGATTTACTCAGATGAGGAGAGATTAAGAGTTGAGTATATTTGCAAGTGAGAAACGAAAAGGGATAAAAAGGTAGAGAAGGTAAAGAAAGAGAGAAAATAATAATGATTATGCGGTATTATAAGGAAAGCAAGTAAAGTGCATCGTTTCTCTTGCGTCGAAAAGGGAAGTAGTTGAACCTTTTAGTGGAAAAGAGTAGAAAATTACAAGGGTAATATAGATCAAAAATAACTCAATCTATATTGAAAGGATGTTTTACAAGCTCCGCGGTAAAATATGTCGTATTACTTATGTTAAACTTTCTAATTACAATTATTGTGTACTACATGGAAAAGAGAGATATATGACCAAATACGATAATAATAATCTATATAACATATATAACAAGGACAAATCTGCACAATTAATCTTAAAAAAAAAAAGGAAGATTACGTACTCAGCCACTATTTGACTAGAAATAAAATAAAAAAAAATTAAAAAAAAAATATTGGTATCTTAATTTATCTTAACTTTATTTATAATAATTTATCTTTGGGTTTTGTTTTTTGTCGCACTTAACGACATGTCGCATTGGGATTCATTGGTGACATATAATAGGTGACAAATATGGTTTTCACATGCTAAAAATTATGTGATACCGGTGACAAATTTCCCCTGAAATTACCTTAACCCCTGAATTTTTATGGATTTGACCAATAAAAAGACTACCCCATGCTTTAAGAATAATTATAAATTTTGATTAATTTTGAAATTTTGATTATTTATTCTTATAATCTCCTTCCTTATTTACATATGATTCATATGATTCACTCATGTTCTATCAACTGCGGCAACATAATGAAAATAATGAAATGAAACAAGCAATTTAATTAATTGTTTCCGATTATTTAAAGTAATTTAAATTTCCGTAGTTTTGGGCGTAAATGTGTCGATGTGTTTATGTGTTACTTTCGTTGTTCAAGGAGATTGGTTGATTTTTGTTTGTTGTAATGAACGGAAACAAATTGTAATTATAATGACTAAATATTTGTATGTCCGAGAAAAAAAATATTTTCTTAATTATCTAATTATTTAGTTTTGATTATTTGGTTTATTATTTCATTATTTAGTTTTGATTATTTATTTAGTTTTGTTTTTTATTTTTTTTATTGGATGAACTTTTTAAATATTTATCAAATCCTTTTCGGTTGATCATTCAAAATAATTAAATAATTATAAATAAATTAAGAATTAATAAAATTAAAGAATGAAAAAATTAAAATAAATGAAGAATTAATTAAGCTAAGCATTAAATAATTAGATAAATTAAGTAAAAAATTAAATAAAAAAATTTACTAATTTTATCAATAATTAAAAAATCATTTATTATTCGTTAAAAAAAAAGAATGTTTATGCTGATACTAACTATTTATAACTATAAAAAACATAAAATAATTTGAACTACTTGTTGTTTCTGGTTTTTTTTAGAATATCAAGATCTCTTCCCAAATAGATTAAATTTGATTGTGGCGTCTTCAGAAAATATCTTTTACGTAATCGTTACCTTAATCCTGAAATGGATGCTTATATAATAAAGTCGATTCGTAAAAAAATATCAATTCTAAAAACATCCTTTGTATTAATGATTTTTAAATATGTACTTGTGCAACCTTTAATGGATGAATATGAATATAAGAACACTTAAAGCAGCCACCACATAATAATTATCGTTTAAAATTATGATAAAATAGTTAATTGTGATAAGATTTTATTTTTATTACAATAAGTAGTAACTCATTAAAAATGTTGGGCATTTTTATTGATCATAATTCTCTGTTGGGATAAGACAGGTGTCTTATTACAATTATCAAAGCTCTCTTCCTCTATAATCTAAATCAAACGGCACTATATACCTATGTGTCTCTGCATTTATTAATGCATCCTCTTCTCCCAAATCAATAATATAATAATTTTTCTCAGTAACTTGAATGTGTTTTTTCATAGTAGGTTTGAAATTTGATCTTACCAAAAGTAATGGAGACTTATTTAACAAATCTTTCCTTATTATTATAGTAATGGTTATTTTAACTTTGTTGAAATTTCAACCTGTGTCAATATATATTTTGGATACTCAATAAATGACTAATATTCTGCATAATTATTACACCTATTTGTTACTTATCTGCTATCAGATAGACTGATAGTTATAATTTTCATCTCATATCTCTATTTTCATTTGCAGTTAATTAGGATATTGATTGTAACCTTCTTGTAAATATTTTTAAATCCAATTGTTACAATTTTCCAGTTCAGAGATTTTTCTTCCTTTCAATAATTCTTTTGTAAACTTTATTTAATAGTAATACAAATCTAAGTTCAAATGATGTATTTTATTAGATATAATGGTTACATAAATATTTATATTTTTAAATTTATATAAATTCAAGTTAAAATATACATAAAAATAAAATATTATTATTTAAATACTTATGGAATATTTTAAAATAATTATGTATTGGTTTTAAACTTGTGAAATTATCTGTACTATTATAATATTTCATAGTATAAAATATTATCTGCCTTTTCTTTAAACTTGTATTTTTCAAATTATTCCTTGTACTAAACAAAAATAACAGTGATAATTTGAATTTGATAATTTATAAGTTAAAAAAAATAATTGTTCAAATTAATAAAAATATAGTAAATTAACTTGAATTTTGAAAATTTTAAAATATTTAAGTTTGAATAACATGTGAAAATTAATAAATTAAAAATATTTTGATTTAGTTTCAGTTCAGTTTGATTAAAGAATCCAAAACTAAACTGTGATCTTCCAGTTTATATATTAATAAACTGAAATTAAACCAAAATTGAAACTGACTATTCAGTTTCAATTTAAATTAAATAGTTAAAAGTTTTACTTATAAATTTGTAACTTCAGGTATTTTAATATATTGTCTTTAAACATTAATAACTTGATGAATATTGATATTAAAAAGATGTTATTACCTGTTATTATCTATTTTTATCTATTTACAATTTGATTTTTCTTATTTAGAACTTGTTTACAAGCTATTTACAACTTAATTTTACTTAAGGACATGTCAGAAATCATTTGATATTCATTTACTATATAGTTAACTTTCTTATTAGAAATATCAAAGATTTATAATTTATAGCTTATTAGATTTTTTTTTATTGAGATAAATATTTTGATAATTGTTTCATTAAAATTAAACTTCTTTACACAAAGTTGGTGTTATAAATAATATTCTATTCTAATTTTCATATTATATAAAGTATTTTTACTAGTTTGTAATTTAATTTTTACAATTTATAAATTATTAGATTTCTTTTATCGAAATAATATTTTAACAGTTGTTTCATTAAAATAAACTTCTCTATACAAAGTTAACATTTCATTATTAGATTATTTATTAGTAAATAAAATTCAATTATAACTTTTCATATTATATAAAATATTTTCACTATCAATTTTTGTAATTTATAACTTATTAGATTCTCCTTGTTAAGATAAATATTTTTTTAGTAGTTGATTTATCAAAATTGAATTTCTTTATATAAGTTAATATTTTATTATTAAATATTTATCAGTAGTTAAAATTCTATTATAATTTTTCATGTTATATAGAATATTTTTACTAGGTTATAATTTAATTTTATAATCTATAGCTTATTAGATTTTCTTATCATAGGTCAAATACAAAAGAATAAGTAATACAAAAAGGAATTCTAATTTTAATTAATTTATAATATAGGAACAAATAAGACAGTTAATTTTAGCTAATCTATAATATAGAAATTCTGATTTAGCTGATCTATAATATAAGAATTACTATTTGATACAGTGATTTTTTTGTATTGACTAGTATATCAAGATTAACATTTGATAGTTATTTCATTAAAATTGAACTTCTTTATACAAAGTTAATATTTTATTATTAAATATTTATCAGTAGATAATTTTATTTATAGTTTATATAATAAAGAGTAATTTTTTATAAAAGTATTAATAATATCAATCATTATCTAGATATTTATTATAATATTTATATTTAAAATTAGTATATTAGAATTTATAAATTTTAATATATAAAAATTTATAATATTAAATAATCTTTATATTAAAATTACATATTTTATAATAACTTGATATCTCTTATAAACCTCTTATTTCCTTTTGAATCATTTAATTTCTAGTATACTTTTTATCAAGAACTTGTTTATAAATTATCAGTAACTTATTAAATTTGTAAGTCTATAGATTTATATAAACTTTAAGAAAACTAAAAAATTTTTAAAATAAAATATTTCATAATATTTGAAGAAAAAAACATATACAGTAGTTTACATATACCTGCCACCCAAATTCAAAATCCAAATGCCGAAATCCCAAATGCCGAAATCCCAAATCCCAAATCCCAAAT